GCGCTCCCCTGCATGCCTGATCACCCCGAACCGCCTCTGCCTCGACCCCGCCACCATGGCTTTGTCCGGAATTTGTCTGGAAGGATGTCTAGTCTAATTAGCATATTACCCTTTTATTAGTATAGATAGAGGGCTGGTGCATGGGTGGGGACTGGCTGGTCTGCCCTGAAGGGAGTCCCAGATCAGGATGGGGGTTGCCTTGGGGGGCAGGGCTGGTTTAGGAGGAGGAGGATGCAAGGTTTGACCAGGATGATCCAGACATACGATCTACCTTCCAAATCCAAAAGTCCCTGAGGCACCTGTGCAGAAATTTGGGGCCCTGGGTTTCATTTTGAAAAACCAATGATCTAGCCCAAACCCATGATATTATACATGGAAAAGCTGTGTGAGCTGCCCAGGGAACCCGCTGAGTCAGTGGCAGCACCAGTGCTAGATCTTAACTCCACTCCCAACCCAGGTCTCTCTGCACCCCTCCCACTAGCCAGCTGGCCCCCTAGCCTTGGATCCCTAGAGTTCCCTGGCGCCCACCAAGGGAATCTTAGACTGAGCTCCGGAAGGAGAACTGCAGGTAAATGATCAGCAGCAGGACCGTGGCCCAAAACAAGCACCAGGGGATAGAGCAGAAATTGGAGCCAGAACCCATCTCAGCTTGCGGTTTGGAGGGGCTGGGTGCCGGCTTGAAAGGGTAGATGGTCGCCTCCTCCTCCAGCAGCTTCTGGCTGGGCTTCCAGTGCACGATGCCCTCCTGGCAGGCCTCGCAGAACTCACTGCGGTGTCTCCTGTTGTCTTGGCGGCTGGCCACGTGGATGCGGTAGTGGCCACCGCGCTCCCCGTAACACTGCTCACGCAGGCTGGTGATGAGGTTGTCCACCAGGCTCTCGATGTTCTCCTCCAGCATGCTGGACTCGTCCAGATGTGCTGTGCCGCACTCGTAGCACAGCTGCTTGAAGACGCGCATGCGCACCGAGCCCGCTCGCTGGGCCCGGTCCAGGTACATGTGAAAGAGGATGACCACGTGGGGCGACTGCCAGGTATGCCAGCACCAGGAGCAGTGGAACCTGCGGGGATGGGGGAGAGGTAGGAGGAAAGAAAAGAATGGAAACAGTGGAAAGAGCCGCAGGAAGCCGGTGAGGGTCAGTAGGCAGAGCATGGAGGCAGTGTGTTTCTGGTCCCTT